ACAACAAAATGATGTTTAAAGGTTTATGAGTTCTACAAATAACAAGCTGGGCTTTTTTTTTTTTTTATCTTCAATTGACACTAAAAGGTAAGAATGGCAGATTGCAAAAAAGTTAAGAAGTAAAAGCAAAGATAATATGCATATTGTATGTTTTACAGACAAAATTGAGAACACTCAACAGGCCCGTATTTAGGAATTTCAATGGGGGGGGGGGGTTCGGCTTGGGACTATGCGGAACTCCTCAAAACCCACATACTTCTTCTTCTCTCCCCTAAATGGGGACTTTATTCAGTGTGATAGGCCTCAGGCCCTTTTACAGTATAAATAAATATACATTTTTAGTGCCTTAAATAAGGCGAGACTTTTTTATACCTTGTTTAGCGGACCCTCCGATTCCGAAAATGGGGATTTCAAAATAAAAATAAAATTTAATTATAAGTGTGTTAGCGTACAAGCCGCCATGAAAAATTGAAATAAAGAAATAAAAATAAAAATTTATATTTATTTTTATTCTGTCCTCCGCTACATGGAATCCCTTTTTCCGAAAATTTAAAGTTGCATACTTTTTAATATAGTAAAAAGATGTACTTAGTTATGTAATCACGAAGTATATATTCCTGAAATAAATATAAATATAATTTTATTTTTATTTCTTTTCCGCCCTCCTCTTGAAAGATTTTCCAAAAAAAGTTCGCGAAACAAGGTATAAAAAGGTCTCGCCCAAAGTGTTCGTTTCGTAAAAGCAAGATGAGTATATTGTGCCAGTTGAATAATTGTTAACTTAATAATATTAGACATTAAAAAAGAAACTTCTTACGAAGCCCCCCCCCGAACCCCGCCTAAATACGGGCCTGCTCAACCTTTTTAAATATTTGTAATAAAATCAAATAACAAACATAATAAACCATGGTAGAGTAAGAACCTACTGTACTGTACAGTCAAACTAATAATATCTACCATACGTTTTTCACTTGGAAATAAATTGTACAGTTTTATATGTTTATTAGTTTCTTGTTTACTATTGTTACGTTTACAACTACTAAATTGGTGACCCCGCCCGAAGAACAATGAACAGAGAAAATATACTGATTGCACCACCTGCTGCATCTCAACAGGGAGTAGCACCAACCGTACCCACGGCAACAGCATCAGCGGTAAGCCTGAAATTACCACCATATTGGCCGAACGACCCTACCCTTTGGTTCACGCAGGTTGAAGCGCAAGTTTATCACTAGAAACATTACTGTTGATGCCACAAAATATGCCCATGTCGTTGGCTCTTTACAGTTGCAGATCACAGCATAGGTTAGAGATCTTCTAATGAACCCTCTTGCAGTGGGCCGATATGTCCAATTAAAGACTGAACTCATAAGGTGGACATCCAACTCTGAGCATAAACGTCTGAGTCAGCTGCTCACATCCGAGGAACTGGGGGATAGGAAGCCATCCCAATTGTTAAGGAAAATGTACCAACTGTTAGGAGATCGAGAGTTGGAACAACAGGTAATGAAACAACTGCTTTTAACAACGCTTGCCAACGAACGTGCAACTATCTTGGCACAATCCAAAGATGATTTGGATGCAGCTGGCCTCGCAAAACTAGCTGATACGCTTATAAAAGTATCAACCCAACAGACTGTTGCAACAGTTCACCAACAGCCCTCCATAGACACTGGGTCATTACTTGCACAAATTAACCAACTCTCCCAGGATGTTAAATCCCTCCTATCCGACCGACAGCGGAATAGCCGAGCTCCCAGCTCCGGCCGACGCACCCGTAGCCCCTCCCACACCAGGGCTAATACCAGCCCGCAGGTATGTTGGTACCATTTTAAATTTGGTGTACGGGCACGTCGCTGCAAGTTGTCTGAACCTTTGGTACTCAGTTGAATTACACCTTTTGATAAACAGTACTTCTTTATTGTTTCAACTTGTATATTCTTTATTGTTTGCCGATCTACACCTCAAGTGTTTTTTTTTTTATCTACCATACGTTTTTCACTTGGAAATAAATTGTACAGTTTTATATGTTTATTAGTTTGTTGTTTACTATTGTTAAATTTACAAGTACTAAACAACTAGCCCAATAATTCCAAGGTTGTGGGTTCGGTCACTGGGACTCCTGCATCTAAAAACCAACCATTAACCCACCAAATACGTGTATAGTATAGAAATACTGTTTTAGAAGTCTCTATAGTATAGGTATACAAAAAGGGACAACAACAATATAAACTCACCATGGGATCACGCCACTCTAATGAATCACCGGATCCTTATATGATTCTTAAAAAGAAAATGTCTTCTGTTCAGTAGAAATAGGCTCTAAGGGAAGACCTTTTGACACTGGGAAGTAATTCAAGGTTTCATTGATATTTTGAGTTAATTTTGCCAGATAGTTCACTGTAATTAACAGTTTAATTGAACAAAATCACAGAAATCATCAATGTTCTTAAGAGATTAGAGGTAGTTTATGTTTCTTAGATTGA